CTCTCTCTCTCTCTCTCTCGTTACGTCTTTCGACGCGCACGTTGTTACATATACCTATATGTTAAAATACGAATAAAATAACCGTGATCATTTTATACATGGATTAAATCGAAATTAATACAAGGTGGATTTATTTTCTCTCTAAGCGATTTGAATCATCTCAAGCCAATACACTATTAATTCATGTACCAGACATGAAGAAATATTAATACTAATATCGTATAAAAAAAAAATTGGATATATAATGCTTTTTGTACTTATAAAATTTGATTTTTAAATTTCAACGGACAATTTTGATTAACGCTTTCTCCTTTCATTAATTGAATGTCTTCAGTTGTAAAAGACACAAATACGTGCAAAATAGTGCACGGAAATGCTCTAGAAGACTAAAATAAAGCGATGGACATTCGCGAAATGGTCAAGCACGCAGAGTTCTTTGATATATGTGACGTAAATAAACAATTTAATCTTAATTCTAGTTGAAGAAAAAGCTATATGTCTGCGATTTATTGTCTCTCTCGAGAATACGATTAATTTGCGGATTTTATGTAAACTTCGAAAACAGCCGCGATTATCCCCAATAATTTCGTCTGCATTTCTCGCTTAAGTCAATGACGAGAAGACAGACCGGCGAAGCCCTCATTCCTCGTGGTAGCCGTAAATATCCGAGGCAAAATACGAAACGTTTGTTTAGATTTCTCGCGGCGCCTCCCTTGATCGCCCGTCGTTATCCGCTGCTTACTAGACTCCGAGAGGGTCAACGCAGCTCGTTTATTAGCATACTTGTGCTACACACGTGACGCTCAATAAGGCCCATCATTCACGGTTTATGCCGCGTTTAATTGCGGTGTAAAAAGGCTTAGTTTGACAAAATTGGTCGTAGGAGCGACCCAAATGAATTTTAACCTAACGGTTATTAATAACGCGGGATTATTTATCTACTCGGCGAGCGTAGATACTAGTCACTTCTGGCTTACAGATGCTAGAATTCGGATTACGAGAAATAATTATTACTTCAATAGTGGCAAACCAGGTTCCTACAAGGCAACTGTTTATTCATCGTATTATTAGACTTAACTTCACGTTCGTGACTTCTGATTTTCTCGTGTGAAGTGACGCTCGAAACGAGCCAACGCGGCCTATAGAATGAAGCGGTTCGAGCCGCTCGTCTCTCCGCCAGTTGAACCGACCAAATCTAATTGTCTGTGAAGAACACGACCGTTTCCGTTCAACTATAAAGTAAGTTGTAATAAAGCGAACGACGAGATCACGGCACGCCCCTCGCGCAAGCCAGCGAAAACTGTAATGTCTACCGTGCAGGCATCGTCGGGCGGTCGGTCGGTTCCGCATTATCCTTAATGCCCCCGCTAAGGAAAACGGGCTGGCGCTTTAACTTGCATTAACCTCGTTTTGCGCACGTGTGCATCGCCCATTATTGTATCCCGCGCCGAACTGTAGTCGTGGAGTGCCGAGAGTACGTACGTCGCGTCCTGTACAAATCGAGAGTGCATCGCGAGCTTAATTAAGCCAGCGGTGACTGGAAAAAGGGCACGTAAATAAGCAAGAATTTCCTGTTTTGAAAGGAAATGCATTCAAGATCCTTGCTTTTTGTTTTACAAAACTCGAAGCCAGTTACATGTAATTAATATACATATCTATATAAACAGAATTGTAAATACCCTTTCGGATATTCTGTAAGATAAGATTCAGATTTATTTCAAATTAATATCAATCCTTTTTGACAAAAAATTTGTATTTATAATATATTCTTTTTTCAATATATTTTAATTTTATTTTAATTTCTTTTTTATAACTATTAGAGTTGTTAAAAAAAAACATTTACTTGTTTGCGACCAGTGACGTATGTAATTTTTAATCGAGTTTCTCAAAATTTACGTTATTAATATTAATAATAATTATTTAAATTCGCTTCGAATGATTTATCACCAAGATCATCTGTATTTGCTTTTTCTTTGCAATTTCTTCTTAATTCAATTTGAACAGGAACATCAAACTTAAATAAATTAGAACAATAAATTAGAACATCGGCAGGAGATAATCAACGAAATAAAATAAATAGTCATCCTTAATGTATTCTAACACTCAGCGTGCAAGATCAGGATAAGCAAAGCGGTTTAATGAGCCAATAAATCTTTTTAAATCGGATAAAACCAACGAGATAGGAAAGTTTAAATAAATACAGAAGCTTTATGAACTCGTCGATAGCTTCTACTTCACACTTTCAAGAAAATTTCAACATTTATAATAAAACTCGTCATTTTTATGAAATTATTAATTCCTACAATTTCTGTTTCAGCACAAAGAAACGCAGGAGTGCCACTTCGTCGAGATTATGGAGCCGCACAATTACAACACGTACAGCTCGGTACGCTGGTCCACGGCGAATAAGACGCTGTACCTCGGTCTGGACCGTTACGGCCGGCCGAGGAAAGTACAAGCCAAAGGTCCCAACCTGGGCAAGCTGTCAGCCTACGCCCGGGTGCTGACGCGGGTCGTCGCGCTTGATCGGGTGAAGAAACTGCAGAGGTGGCTAGAGGAACAGCTCATAATGGGCGCCCAGCACAAAATACGCCACAGACACGGCTCGTCGTCGCACAAAAACAGTACTCGTCATCGCCAGGACATCTGTCCGTCTGCGCCGCCCGAGGAGAAGGACGGCAGGGACAGGTTCAGATGTCGCAAGCGAAAGAAGAGGAACCGGAAGCGATGGTGCAGATCGGGCAAGCAACCCGGTCCCCAGTGCCAAGTCCCTAAGAAATCGGCCGCGGAATCCGACCCCGTCGAGGCGTCATCGGAGATCGGCGCGAGCAGCACCACGCCAGAATCCAAGAGATCCTGCGAGGGGGCGGCCAGCGAGGAGGCCTGCAGGCGACAGGCCCACTCGGTGTCGGCGAGCAAGCGGAAGTCGCGGATACCCATCGGCAACTCCACGTACGGTAAGAGCAAACCATCAACGTCAAATGCGAAAAAGCCAAACGTCAGCGTCGCCGATAGTCAAAGTAAAAAGCCTGATTTAACGGACGGGAAGAAGAGGAAGAGAAAGAGGACGGGTCAGCAGCGGACGAGCCAGGGGAGCACGGTGGCATCGCCGCCGTCCCGGAAGCAGTACGGGCCTGGCACGACCTCCTCGTCCCGGGTCTCTTCGTCGCTAACGGCGCTCGCCAGCGAGGAGCAGCGGGCCTCGACAGCCGCATTGTCCTCTTCGCCGTCTCCTCCTGGTGCGTCAACCGCTCTCTTCTCCACCAGAAGGCCGAGCTCGTTGCCGTCTGACCGTAAAAAGCCACCGCCGTCCTCGAGGAATCACGTGACGGGACCGGTGGGCTCGCGTAGTAGGGTAGGAAAATTTCTCCCGGGTGTCGCGAATTCGCCGGACCGACCGGGGACGATCTCGACGACGTCGAGGAGCGAAGTAGCGTCTCTACCGTCAACCACCAAAGTTCCTGAAGATACATACGCCTATACTGTAACCCCTCTTCTGCCTCACTTCTCGCCAGTTCTCCCTTCCTCGTCCTTGCCCCGGCAGGAATCCGACGAGGACTCGTCGAGTTCGCTATCGTACTCCTCGCCCGTCGACGAGGAGTCGTCCTCGACCGTCACGAGCGAGCTCGCCACGGTAGAGTCCAGCACGTTGGCAGCCTCCGACGAAGATATCGCGGAAATTACGACATTTAGGTTAAATGAATAGAATCGCGAGGACGGTGATTTCGACATGGCCGACGCGGTCCCGCGGACTACGGCGAGATTCTCGTTGGAGAGACTGGCGATGTGATTCGGTCGGAGGCTGATTTGCGCGCGAACGTCATTGTAAACTTGCGTGTACATATAGCTCTAGGTTACGACTTACTCCACATTCATGCGACGAGCGGGTGGCGCACGACGTGTGTCGTGCTGAAATTTTGATACTCGCTGTGCAGGGGACCGATATGGCTGCAGTTTCAGCGAGATCAATTTAGTTATATAAACTTTGAGTAAACACTTCGAGAAATGAAAATGAATTTTTAAAAACTGAATTTTTATTCGTCGTATTAAATTGCAAATGTCAATCCATCAGATTTAAATACAGGTAATTAAAATTTAGATAAATATAATAAAGATTTAATTAGACATTAATAATAAAAATTTAATTAGTCAAAGGTACTTTCTGTTAACTTATACTTTCTGTTAACGTAATTAAATTTTCTGATCTTATTTATTAATCCAATTATTATAAAAAATTTTTTTCTAATATTTTTAATTTACTAATAAATATTTCTATTTTATCAAGCGCAAACGTATGATTTGCGAATATGAAAGCAGCATGTAAAAAAAATCTTTGACATACACAATTTTATCGAATTTCTTGTAATTAAAACTTAAAGTAAAGAAAATATTTCTTTGGGCATTTCCCATATAATTTTATAATAAAAGATTTATAGACACAATTTATAATACAAGTAGATGGGAATAATTTGAGATATTGCAAAAATTATCGAAAAAGAATTATCTATAATTTGATAACATGTATATTAACAAATATTGAAGGTCTCGATATTTAGTAGTACTATTTCCTATGACATATTTCATACGACGAAAGATATTTTGATGCACGCGGTAAGATGAAAAATCCGTAACGGTATAGTAAATTGCGTTCACCGAAATCGTTTCGATATCGATCCCCAAGACACTTTTACGGTGAGAGACGCGGTTCGTGTCGAGAATCGATCGGGCATTGGTAAAGGCAAAGAACCTTCGCGTTTGTTTGAACAAGACAAGAGCGTGCCGGCCAATGCGTGTCTCTTACGCTCGTTATCCGAAAGGGGTAATTACCAGTGGTACCGAAATGAGAGAATATCAAACCGCCGGATAACGAGCACGAAATAATTTTAATCTCAAAGTACTTCCTGGCGGCAAAACAGGTCATGCCATAATTGCCGTATCTCCTATAGGTGGTTCCGTGGAGTCCGTAATCTTCATGGGATTTTAGAGCAAGTAGTTTTCGATTCTATTGCAAGATGGTAAGTCGATGTAATGCATGCGAACGTGCCATTTTTGAACTCTGATAGTCTTTGTCGACTTTCACCGATCGATACACCTTTTTCTCAGCAAAAATTTAACTTCGATATACATTATGTAATTATAAAAGAATTTATAGATACAATTTATAGACAAAAAGCTTCCCTACAAAATTCCAGAAAAAACTCTATATATTTTAAGGATATTTCAAATAAATATAACTAAGCTATTTATTTTGAAAGAAATGCATATGTAGGTGTTACATATTAAAAAATATATATATATATTTTAGATTTAACTTACATTACTTTCAAAGTGAATGGCCTAATCGGGACAGTGATAATTCTCTTAGGCAACTAGATCTTCTTCAATATTAACGATACAATCTTCAGTAGCTTTAACAATTACAGAGTATTCCCAGCATGACAATCTAGGTATGTATCGTCATTGTATTAGGTGTATGCAAAAGTTTTAGTTTTTTTCTCTTTAAATCTATACATGTAGTAATATTTAGTCATCTAAATATTTGTCCTCGTTTTCTGTGATTTTCTGCCATTAATTAAGTAAGGATTCCTTTACGAAAAAAATATTTTTTGTATCTTAGTTAAACCTCGAAAGTGCTTCTCAGATTCGATTGCTATCTCTCGGCAGGTAAACTACCAAGAGTATATCTTGCCATGAGAACCTCTTCTTAATTAATTAAGGCCATTCGGAACCGGCGTTAAACTGTATATCTGCGTAAATTGTAAATTACACACACCGCAAAAATACGATGAAGGGACACTCTGATAAGAATAAAAAAAGAAAGCAATATATAATAATTACAAATGAAATAAAAGATATTACCTCTATTATCTGAAGCATTTTCTTACGTAGAACATTAATGTCAGCAATAAGAACTAGAATTTTACATTTGAATTCAAAAATATTAATAATCCGTTCATCATGAACATCACCTAGAGTTATTAAGTTACAATTATCCATTATTTGCAATTATGTATTAATTATAGTTTATATTAAAATAATGTTTCAGTTAATGGATCAGGGAGTCTCTCAAGGGAAGTAAACGGTTCAGGATGGATTTCCATAATTTCTCACGTTATGATAGAGTGCGTTCAATTGAATCAATATTTCTTCCTCGATTGAATCTTTTCTGAGTTCTTTTTGCCTCTCGTCAGAAACGTGGTGACCCCTCATCGTATTTCTGTGCGCTGTTTACAATTTACACAGATATACGGAATCTACAGTTTTCGCCGGTTTCGAACGGCCTAATATTTCGAGGGATTTTCATAGCAAGATGTATTCTCGGTGGATTGCCGCTGCCTTCCAAAAGGTAGCGATCAAATAAAAATCCGCTCGAAAAATCGAATAAAAATCACTAGTCGGATTTGAATCCGGATCTTTGGCACCGAAAGCAGACGCACAGCTCTCTGCGCCACAATCGCTATAAAATGATTTGAATGATTACGTAAAAATTGAATGGTTACATGAAACTTGTATCCAATAAACCTGATTCTAAAGTAAAACAAAAAATTTTTGAACAGAGAACGTGGCGCAAAGAGTTGTACGTCTGCTTTCTACGTCAAAGACCCGAATTCAAATCCGACTAGAATTAAACATCGGATTTTTATTCTATCTCGCTATCTGTCGAAAGGCAACCGAGTGGGGAAACCACCGAGAGAGTATATCTCGCACGAAAAGGCCCTCTAATTAGATTGTTCGAAATCGGCATTAAAATTATAGGTCTCGTATATCTATGTAGAATTTGTCGAAGTCCAATTTCATAACGATTTTTCGTGGCGCAGCGATTTTTTGTGCGTCCGCTTTTTATGCATCGTGTTCAAATCCGATTAGAAACATCGGATTTTTATTCGACCGTTACCTCTTGAAAGGCAATGGCAAACCGAGAGTATATCTCGCTATGAGAACCCTTCTAATTAGGCCGGCAAATCAAAACTGTGGGTCCCATATATACGTGTAAATTGTAAATAGCGCACAGAAATACGTTGAGGGGTCACCATATTTCTGACAGGAGGCAAAGGGACTCGAAGGAAGAAGATATTTTCTATTTTTGGAATTATTCTCGAAATTATTTTTAAAATATTAATAATGAAATATAAATTTTAATAATATAAGACAGAGTTAAATTAAATAATTAAAATAAATAACTACATTATATATAAGACGTGTACTATAGTTCTTGGATATCAATATAATTCCCATTTGTTATAAATTCGCACCGCCCAGCCCAAATTGAAAATTATTTGCTGAAAAGCAACATGCAGTCTAACGTGGTCGTCTAAAATGGCCTTCTGGTTGTCCAATAAATAATGTTTTCTGTTTTTTTTTTAATTTTTTAATGACGCAAAAAAAACACAATTTACTTAATTATTATACATAATTATTATACCAAAATTATTATTACTATTATTATTATTACCAAAATACCATTTAAATAGTTATACAGAGCTTTGAAAAAAAGACTAAAACTTCTGCATACACCAATACATTATTTAATGAATGCGATGTCTCTCTCTCTCTTAACTAAAATTATTATTAGGCGTACGAGAGCGTTAAATAAATTCTTTAGTTATATAAAATTAAATAAATAAAATACAAGGAATGTCAAGACATCTGCATTAAATGGCTAGATAGGGAAAAAGCTTTAAACAAAAAATTGTCGCATAGTAATATTCGCGCGAGAGTTAGAAAATAATAATTCACAAATTATAACATTAAATTTAGATGTTATTCCAAATGATATATTTTATCTGCATAGTTGTTGAGCAAAATACTTGACATGAACCGCTCTCACCTCGCCAATGTATCGACGTATAGAGAAACCACCCTTGTATATTACTGCCGAACTTTGTCCTAAACTAGTGCGAAACAGCGCATAAGTGTAAAGAGCCAATTAATAATGACGTTTTAGCGAGCGAGGAGCGTAAGACAATAAGCGAAAACTTGGAAAAAGAGGGAGCTGTATTGTACGAACGATGAAATCAATTTGACTTGCGAGCACGAAATACGATTTTTATTCTCGAGTAAATAGATATCGATTTAATTAAGGAGACGAACTGTTCAATAAAAATTAGCTGTCTCGCGACGAAAATGGCCGCCCGCGCACATTTCGTCGGGATGAAGCGAGACGTTTTCGATTACGCTTAGTGCACTACGTAATGAGATAATTTTTTTAGACTAGCGTAAATTATACATATACAAATTGTAGGATATGGAAAAGTTATTTCGTGAGCCATCTGTAACGATGTTTAGGTATCCGCGAGCTTGAAGTTCCTGCAAGCGATTAATCAAATTGTGAGTTTGTCTCTGGCGATCGCGCAATCAAACGCTATATAAAACGCAATTTCCACGGGCGACGTATGTATAATTTGGAATGCGTATAGAGAGTAAATTTCGTTCGACGTAATCTCAGTATTTATAATGGAGCAAAGAGTGGAGGGGAGGAGAAAGAGAGAAACAGAAAGAGAGAATACTGGCTTTCTTATTTCACTCAAGGAGATCGATTAATCAGGTCGACACAAATTGCATACGCTGGTCATTCGAGTTCCATCTACCCGATCGTTATTTCTCGCGCCTTCAATTTTATTTCAGGAACTCGTTTTTCGCGACGAGCTCGACAGTGCCGACGTGAAAATTACGGAAGGTCTTAATTAGCGTTTCCATTATATTATA